AGCAGGCTGCTTCACAAGCGAGCCGTCCAGCAACCGCAGCGGGTCAAGGACTGCAAAACAGTCATCGATTGGTGGCCTTCGTGCGCCTGGGAGCTGTTGGATACGTTTTTGTTTTGCAATTGTGGGACCTCCGTGCATGCACACGTCTGGACATGTCTTGACTGCCCAAATCCTTGATGGAACGTTTGTATGTTCTAGTTATGGTATTGAAAATCTATGAGGCTTTGATTTTGCAGTTGTGTTTGCAGCTGTTTGCAAATCACTCCAGGTGCTTCATGCGTCTTTGCTTGCATTCAAAACGCTTTTGATTTTCAAGGGCTGTGAGCTGTAGACCTCGGACAAAAGGGTAGCCCCAAGCCCCAACCGGGGGCCCCAAGCCCTGCGTACGACATCAACTCCTAGCAGCTCTACATCAGAAATAATGTGGCATCTCAAGACGGACATAGCCTAAAGCAGAAACTAGCCCAAAAAGACAGGACCGCTGTTTTCACTACCCCGGTGGGTCCAGGGTCCAGGAATCTCGCCGGGGCCGGGGGGGCCGTAGGGCCAGGGTCTTTCGTAATCGGCCCATTGAATGGACACATGAGCGGTGCATTTGGCAACTTAGGAGAGAACAGGAAAGCAGTTCTTAAACGGCGAGGGTTCCACAGGGATCTCTCATTCTAGTATACCCCCAAAGGACGGTTGATCAGCTAACGTGTTCTGTGTGCTATCGTACTGGGCTGGGATTAGATGGCTAAGAACGAACCAGTAAGGTATAGGTCTCAGGGGATTACAGTATTCCATGCAAAAGCATTCGGAGCCTGTCATCCACAGGCTGTCAGGTGATACGCGGCTTAGGATTCAGGGTTTAGGGTCTAGGGTTTAGGGTTTAAGGTTCAGGGTTTAGGGTTTAAGCTTTAAGGTTTAGGGTCTAGGGCTTAGGGTCTAGGGTTATCAGTCATTGTGTGGCGTAAGAAGCGCGTGATAGTCAGTGTTGGTTGGCCTGTTAACCATGAAACCCCTTGGTGAAGAACCAAGCGCTACAAGTTGGTGTTCCGGCCCATCTACTGGGGGTCAGAAGGGGATAATTATGCAAATATATAAAACAGGGTGTATATTCCCCTGTTCCCTACTAAGAACCACTAAGCCTGTAGCAAAGCTGTTGCCGTTGGGTCTGACCCTCAGGGCCCAAGAATGCAAGTGGCTCGAAACGGTTCCTATGTTGATGCTCTGGGCCGAGACGGCTGTGGGTTTCCATAAATAACCGGGGACCCCGATCTGGACCCCAACATACTATAGTGCTCATTAGGAGGAACGCCTAAAGCCCCCACACGCCTTTATGGAAGCCCCCATCTAGTGTATACCGAGACCCCCCCCACCTACCCTCGATTAGGGCATAATTACCACCTATTAGCGACCATAGTAAATGCCCAATTAAGGGTACTAGGAGGGTCTTGGTAGGTACTTGGAGCTTAAGGGAACATGACAACCTCAGCTTCAATCCCGAATGTGGCATTGGTCATCCTCATACATGGCGTGGCGCCTTTGGACTTCATACTCAGATGTAGCTTATGCATGAGCACCCTCTAGGATGTGTACACCCTACGGCTAAGTGAGATATGTATAGTAGTTAGTTTGGGTTGTTGTTGCTGCGTGTATACAAGGTTCCGTAGGAACATGGATAAGGTTATAGATTGCGTGTTGAGTTGGGAAACTTGAAGCTAAAACTATGAGTCACATGATGACTAGTGGCCTAGAGATTTGAAGTGTTCCCACTCTATCCCCTACACTCTGAACGGCTTTTCCTAGATTCGGTACAAGCAGAGGTGGCATTTGCGTCACTACGTCGCCTTCTGCTGCAGACAAAGCGACGCGAGCAGCTGTGGCTCTTCCGCAAGGGTGGAGAGACTTTGGTCGGACTTTTAGGGTTTTTGAGCCCTAAGGGCAAGGGATTTGCTTCAAATTTCTCGACCCCTCCACCACCGCCCATCTGCCAACTCCCAATTGGAATGTGCTTCAAATAGCGCTGTTTATATGTGGTTGTGGAGGTGGTCGGTTTGAACCTTCTCATATTGGGGCGGCGTGGATTCATTTTTCGTCCATGCGGTCCGAAACATCATTCTCTCTGGCAGCAAAGCTTCAACGAAGGACTGCATGTTGCACCTACCCTCTGCTTAGGCCTAAGTACCCACTAGTAGGGCCCATATATCCCCAAGTAAGGGTACTGGAAGATAGGGGTGGACCCATCTATCCTGGGCGATATGTTTCAACCCGCAACGCAAAGAGCTCCAGGGGGTTTCAAATTGGGGGAAGATTCGAATTGATATCAGCTACATTCGAAACTCCTTAACGGGGGTTTATCGGGGACTATATAGGGGAGTATTACAGGGCTTACAAAGGGGGTGTACTAGGAGTTTAGATTCTGGCTCAGATTAGTACGGGCCCCTGCATGTCCGCTGTCCGCTATGAAAGAGCTAAAACGACTGAACTGTGCTGGGCGTCTTTAAAGCTTTTTTTGCCGCTGCTGGCTGGATATGCAGGGGTTGTTGTGGTCTCTGTTTAGAGACAGACAGATATAGTTTCCCTCAAGTAGATAGAATATGGTTTTGGGTATATTTCAAAAAGATCCCCATATACCCCATATTCTATCTACTTAAGGGGGACTATAGACGCACAGTGTTGCAGCTCGAGCTCTCTGCATCTCATGCTCAATCCAATGGGCTGACCAGCCACTCACAGCATCTGCCCCACCATGAAAGGTGTTCCCCAAACACCGGGATCCTCATCTCAAGGACATGTCACGTTTACTACATAAACAGTTGTGTGCCGCAGCTGCTTAGCATTCATCTGCTTCCATGTCAACGAGTTGCTGCTACGACCTTCAGCTTGATTGTGATTCCGCCTCCCCTAAGCAAAAAGCACACGCCCCACTCTAAAATACGCAGTGTAGGTTCTAGATCTAGAGAATGTAGCATCATTTCACATAGCGGGATGTTCCGCATTCCTTGAGAGGGGTGGTTACATTGCCCTTCCAGCTGCACACCAGCGCGCCCATGGATCGCGGCTTGCAGCTGTCAGTTTCCTGGTGCCAGGGCCGCAATTCTCTAGGGTTGGCTTCAGGGTACAGGGTGTAAGGGTCAGGGATCCGCGCAAGCAAGGACTCCAAAGCATTTTCCCCTAGGTCCCCCCACATGTAGACCCTAAACCCCTAAATCCAGTAGAGTATATCTAGATGGTATTCAATTGGCTTGTATAGCGGCGCGTTTGTGGGTCTAGCAGGGTTCAAGTGCCTGGAAGTGCTTCAACACTAAGAGGTTTCGGGTTACCCTTACAAGGCAATCGGGAATGGGGCCTTTTAGGGTTTCGGGCCTAGACTCTGTAAGAGTCATATGTTATACATCGCATCCTGATTTGGTAGAGGCCGGCTTTTCTTGCAACATAGCAGACGGTGCCATTCCGTCGTTCAGGAAGCTGGCGTTCTTCGGGGGGCTTCGTCCCCTTAGACTAGAGCATCGTCAGGTTTTGGCGGGCGTGGATGCGGGGCAAGTAGGACAGAAGGTCACCATAACCCGGCTCCTTCAGCACGGGCAAATCAGCCATACTGGGAGATTCGGAAGCCATGCAAGTCAAGGTGACATGGAGGATAGATAGATATATATATATATATATGGTGCAGGATTACCGCCATGCACCCCTAGAGTGAAAATCCTTAACACTAAACCTTAAGCCCTTGACTCTCAACCTCAAAACCCTGAACCTTTAAACTACACAAGTCGAGAAGTGTACCGAGTTTTCAAACAATTGGCAACACGTTACACCTTCAGCCTAGGAACCCTGAACCCTTGACCCTCTAAACGCTCAATCTCACACCCTACGCATTCAACCTTTATCCCTCAACCTTAAACCATGAAACCTAAACCTTCTTGCGTTGTTTTGGCGATGCAAATGGCAAAAACCTTCAGCCCTTAGCCCTCAACCCTTTAAGCCCTAGCCCCATAGCCTTAAGCCTTTAACCTTCAACTTCAAACCCGGAACCCTAAACCGTAACCACGAACAGTAAACACACCCTACATCCCAAAAGCAAAGTGCAATACAGGACTCTAACCAGCAGGAATGACGCACTGTCCTTGTAGGTGTAGCTTCTTTTATGTCATGTTTCTGGCTTGTTCTGCGTCCCACCCCTCCCCGAGCTTTTGGTGTACCTTGTGTAATGTCAAGATTTGGGCAGGTACTATAGAAGTTTTGAAATTCGCAAGCTTAAGAAAACAGGTTTCGAAAGAGGGCCTACTAATTTAGGAATATTAACAGTAATGCTAATACTTTGGCGACCCCCATCAAATTGTAGGGGGCTTACGTTTGTTCAGGGTGCACCTTTACTGTTTGGAAAGCCCTACATATCAAAGTGGCCACGAAAGTATTGTGGATCAGACCAGCAAAGGATGCTGGTTGATTTCATGTCCCTACGTTACGATCCCTACTGGCCCTATGTCATCCCCACACGCTTCCCTTAGGGTATAGGACCTAAGTGGTACCCTAAGTCCGAAACCCAGAACACTACACCCTGCGTCCTAAACCCTATATGAATCCTAGCCCCAAAGCTCTGAATCCTAACCCCTCCAAACCCTAAGCCTTGAAACCCTAAACCTTAAACCCTAAACCTTGCAACCCTGAACCTTTAGTAGTTTCCACTTTCTTTTCCATTATCCCTATACAACCCTATATCCTTCTATAACCCCTTTAAAGGGACCCCGAATATACTACAGTAGATTCCATTTTCTTTTCCACCATCCCTATACAACCCTATATCCCTATACAACCCTATATCCCTACATAACCCTATATCCCTATATAACCCTACATCCCTATATAACCCTACATCCCTATTGCGGATGGTTGTGCAGTTGTGCAGGCTTAACCTTGAGCTTCTGAAGGCTTTGACTTTCAAGGAAAAGAGTGTGTAGCAACTCCGTTAGCGGGTTATGAGCCCAACGCTTTCGGTGTAGAGTCTTGGTGAAGCTATGAACTCCCTGCTACGCCGTAGAGCGCGTTCAGCGGAGGGCGAGTCTTCTGGAGGCAGCACTCATAGAAGGGAAGTTCGAGTTCAAGATTTTGAGGTTCATCCGGACTATAATGTGCCCAGTCCAGACCGTGATGGTGAGATAAGGGATGGGTCACAGATGCTTCAGGATGATCTCCGCCAGAGTCGTGGTGATCTGGCAACCCAGGAAGAGCCAGGGATGGCCTTGGCGGTAGAGGACATCTTGACTGCCAGAGTCGATGTAGATGATGGGCTGGCCGGCATGATGGAGCCAGCAGCGACCGGAAGAGAGAATGTGGAAGGGGAAGATGGTCTGCCGCAGGCAGCGGACGTGGGAGAAAGGGAGCTTTTACAGGGTCCAGAGGTCGCCAGCTTGCCGCCGGGCTTTGATGGACAGGTCCCGCCAGGACCAGTGGAGCAGGCCGTAACTACAGGAGGAGCTGTGGGCGATTCCTACATTGCTCGGTCGCTGGACGCTATGGGGACGGTTCTGTCCTCTCTCCTCGGCCGAATGGCTTCGCTAGAGCAACAGCGGAGCTCTGGCACGCCAACTTCGGATGGTTTGGAAGGACAACTCCAGCAGATGAGCCTCTCGGCGGAACGGAGGTTCCGTGAAGGAAGGCCGCTGACGAGGGAGCGACCCCTGGCCTCCATGGAGCGGATTATGGCCGGCACCTTCAGCAGTGATAGCAGTGAAACTGCCCGGCTCAGGGCGGAGGAAGCCAAGCGCGTGATTCCAGGGGGGATCATGAGGCCGCAACAAGGGCCACCCAGACAGCAGGCGATGGGAGAGGACTGGACTTCTGGAGCTAGACAAGGGATGCCCCAGACTTCTCCTATTACCAGGGCAGATCCTGAGCAGGATTTGCGCTCATTGCCGCCGATTCCTCCTTCAGCGCTGGGATATTTTGTGCCTCCGGAGCAGAGGCAGATGGCGCCGACCTCAGCTATGGCAAGTGTTGGCATAGGAGATCCAGCTATGAGCTTGAATCCTCCTATGGGATCTTCGCAGTACCCGGCACCATGCATGAATATGTCAGGGGTGACCTGGCCAATGTCGGGGCCGTGCCTGCCTATGACAGAGTTGCCATTGCCTCCTATGGGATCGTGCCCGAATATACCTCCTCATTTGACTTCCTCAATGGTGGCCTCAGCTCCAATAGGTACATGCTTGAGTACCACGGGCGGTTCTCCTCATAATTTGGGGTCGTGTTTGAGTCGATCAAGGGGAAGGGACGATAGTGCGGGTGTGGATGGAGATGATCCGGGTCGAGCAGTTGATTGTCGTGCAGCGTATTTTCATAGTTTGACTTCGGGAGCTAGACCAGGGATGCCGCAGACTTCTCCTTCCATGGGCCATTTGCAGAGCCAGAGAGTGCCAGAGTTCGGGGTCTATGTCGATGGTATTCCAACCACGGAGGGTCAGAGGGGCTTCATACAAGTAGAGGGCCAACGTCTTCCATGTGTGTGTTGTGGAGGACGACTGGTGATCGAGATGGAACCGCACGGAGAGGTCCTACACGGGCAAGGAGCAGTGCATGATAGGCCTCAACCACCTCCTGGGCCGCCGCCCCCAACTCCGCCAATGACACCTAAGGCTAGACCTCGAACTGTGCAGTATGGAACCTCCTCAACTACAAGCTTGACGCCTGGAGGAACCCCTATACCGCCTTCTCCCCCAGCTACACCTGAACCACTGGAGGAGCCTTCTAAATTGGTAAACAAGCTACCTGTCCTCGCTTCTGTGAAAGGAACTTCGGGGGGAGACGCTTCCGTGATGGCGGGTGACTGGCTGGCGCAGTTGGCGCCGTCAATGGCTTCGCTGTCGCCAGGAGCAGCTTCGTGGTGGGCAGTGCTTTTAAAGGACGTCATGGGTTCCTACAACGCTTGGTTGGAGAGTTCGCCCATAATCCGCTTGAATATCCGTCAGAGGGTCCTAGCAGAATCGCCCCCAATGGATCAGTTTCAGCGGGTTGAGCAGCGAGCGGCCATGTTGTTGTTGGAGTCACTTCCTGAAGAGCTGAGATCAGAGGCGGTCAGTGCCAGGGCTACTTCAGTGAAGGGAATGTTGTTCCTCACATTGTGCTCCTATCAGCCTGGAGGGGCAGGCGAGAAACATTATTTGCAGCAGTTTCTTACTGCACCGGAGGTGGCTTCCACGTTGGATGGGGGAGTGACTTTGGCAAGAAAGTGGGTGCGACTGTTCAGGCGTGGCAAAGAGCTAAGAGTGGTGCTACCCGATCCTCAGCTCTTAGTTCGTGGCTTGGACCGCTTGATTTCCAAGGTGTTCTCCGATGGAAAAACCCATGCGGCGTCAACGTTCAGAATGTCAGCTTTCAAGTTGGAGAGACAGCTGGACTATAAGCCCACGGAGGATGCCGTGATTGACTATGCCCAGATGATCCTCGGCGAGCTGGAGGCCGCGGTGTTGTCAATGCCGCCTGCTCCTCAAACAAAGCTCGCTGCCTTTCAAGAGGAGAGCGACGGAAGCAAGGGCAAAGGCAAGAGCAAGAGCAAATCCAAGGCTGGAGCACGACCATGCTGGCGCTGGAATGACGGAACCGGCTGTCGTTTTGGACTCAACTGCTCATTTGCACATGATCCTCTTGGACCCGGACGGTGTTGGGTATGTGGTTCAAGTGATCACATGAAGCCCCAGTGCCCGTACACGGGCGCTAGTAATGGGCCTGAGCAGGCCCAAGGGGGGAATGCGCCCTCAAATCAGAATCGTGAAGCTCCGGAAGATGCAGCTAAGGCTGAGGAGCCCGGAGGAAAGGGACGGAAGCCCAAGAAGAAGGCGAAGAAAGATGCCGTGCGAAAGGCCGAAGAGGGTCCCAAGGATGTGGAACCTTCAAGGGAGGCGGCGGAAACTTCGGCGATGGCTTCGGCGCCTTCATCGGCTTCGTCCCAACAAGAGTTTCTCCAGGAAGCGACTAAGGTGTTGAAGTCAATGCGGCTGGCCAAGCTGACTGGAGATGGAGGGAACAAGTGCTTAGTGGATGGTGGAGCGACCACCTCGATGAGGAGGGCGAGTTCGGAGGATGAGATTCGTGGACTTCCTCGTCGTACGGTGAAGTTGGCGGTTGGGGAGACCTACTTCTATGTAAATGAGGCGGGAACCCTTCTGACTTTGGATAGCGTGGCTCCCATTCTGGCCATGGTCGATTTGATGGAGATTGGCTGTCGTGTCACGTGGACATCCAGTGAGGGATGTAAAGTGTGGCATCCTCGGATGGGATGGTTGCCAGTCCGGATGGTGGATGGCTGCCCGGGAGTGGACCGGGGACTGGGACTGGAGCTCATCAAAGAGGCTGAGGGTGTTAAAAGGAGCAGGGCTGAAGCGGAGATCTATGTTCGCGAACTTCGAGCCCACGTGGGTGATATGGACTTCTGGGAGCAGGGCAAGAAAGTGGTGGACTCTATTCCCAGCGGCACGGACGAGGCCTATAAGTGGTTGGCACGAATATTTCCTCAGGCTCCTTCGTGGTTGTTGGCAGCGATCCCAGTGAAGTCTGGGACGGATGGACTAAGGGTGCCCTGGAACCGCAGAGAGAGGAAGAAGTGGAAGAGGGTGTCTTCCTTGGCGATCCACTTGTTCTGTGGAAAGGATCGGCAGTTCTGGAAGGCGGAGGACGACCAGAGCCACGTGATCAATGTGGACCAGGCGGAGAATCTTCTGGATGATAGCACCTACGCGGCGCTACTGGAGGTAGCGTGCTCAGGCAAGCTGGATATGCTGTTCGGAGGGCCTCCGTGTCGGACTTTTACAGTTCTCAGGCACTTCCTGTTGGATGTACCAGGAGGCGGACCTCGGCCGTTGCGCGCCCGGTATGGGCCAGAAAGGTTTGCCTTGGAAGGGCTTACTGACTGGGAGCTGAGGAAAGTCAAGGGCGATTGCGTCTTGATCTTTCGGATGATCTTTCTGCAGCTGCTGGCCGAGGCGGAGGCGAGAAGAAGGAAGAAGATGAGCCCTACCTTCTTGATGGAGCACCCGGGTGATCCAGAGGAATACATGGGCGAGGCGGACACCGAGTACCCCAGCCTCTGGACATGGCCGGAGATTGAGTCCTTGATGAGCCTCCTGGGGTTGAAGAAGTGGGAGTTTGATCAGGGCCCTCTTGGACATCCGCGAAGGAAACCCACGTGTATCCTTTCGAATCGAGAACCTCCAGACGGACTTCAAGGCTTACGGGGTCGTTCCACGGTGCCGAAGGAGGAAGTGGCTGGACATCATGGCGGCTTCAGATCGACGGCGTGGGCGGCATGGGCCCCAGGTCTGAAGGACATCATCAAGGGCATTCTGTGCGAGTCCTTGGGTCGTGGTAAGGCCTACGCTGTGCTCAGGAGACTCGATCGAGGATTCTTGGATCATCTTCGGCGAGATCATGTTCCCTATCGACGTGACTGTCGAGCGTGCTTGGCTGGATATTTTCGGGGTCACCAGCATCGGCGTGTGGCAGTGCCTGATGGTTGGACTTTGTCAGTGGACTGCGTGGGCCCGATAAAGAATGGCCTATCGGAGTTTGGTCCACAGGTGAAGTATGCCCTGATTGGCGTCTTGGTGGTTCCAGACATTGTTGGAAACTTGAAGGCCTTCTTCCAAGACGATGAGGAGGTGCATGAAGTTCCACTGGAGGATGATGCCTTCGTTGCGGAGGGCGGTGAGGACGACGATGAAGCCGGCGAAGACGAGGAGGAGGTCGACGCAGATGAGATGGCCAAGTGGGAGGAGATGGCGCGTAGAGAGAGGATTGAGGGTGGCAAGGTTCTTGAGCTGCCCTTTATGATCCCGCTTCCCTCCAAGGCCGCTCCGGTAGTGTTAGACGGCATCACCGAGATCCTGACCAAAATCAAGGCGATGGGACTCTGTGTACGGAGGATACATTCTGATCGAGGCCGTGAATTTGTGAACATGGCGATGAAGCGATATTGCTCCCACAGAGGCCTGATCCGGACGACCACCAGTGCGGACGACTTTAAGATGAATGGCCGATGCGAGGCTATGGTTGGCAGACTGAAATCGGCCACCAGAACCCTCTTGACGGCGGCGGGAATGGGCCCGGATCACTGGTCCTTCGCCATGAGGCACGTGGTTGCTCGTGCTCAATCTGATCTTCTCCGACAGTTAGGCATTAAGCAACCTGCCTTGCCCCCATTCGCAACCAAGGTGTATGTGAGGAAAAGATCCTGGACCAACCGGTACCAGGAGTGGGAAGAGAAGGTGATCCCAGCTACAGTGCTCTGTCCTTCGGTGGACGTGTCCCGAGGTTTCCTGGTCAAGACGGGCGAGAACACCTACCTCACCACGACCGTCCTTGTGGAACATGTGGAAGAGGTGAGCGGCAACTTTGCAGTTTCCCCGGAGCAGGCTGCAGAAGGAGAACCGCCCAAGCCGGTACCGCGTTACAGGGTGACTGGAAAACAGCGAGTGGCGGCCCTCGAGACAGACATGTCCATTGAGGAGGACGAGAAGCTGGCACAAAGCTTCTTGGAGCGGGGTGAATTTGGAGTTCAGGCCTTGGAGGACTGTGTTTGTCAACTTCGACTTCGTGACCAACGTCGACCCTCACGAGCCAAGGCCCGAGTGTTTCCAGAGGCATCGTCTGTCCATGTGTTTGGCATGTTCAGGCACGGGGGAGTGGTTGGTGTGACCAATCACCTGAAGAACAGACCAAAGTTGGCCAAGTTTGTGACGCTGGTCTTGAGGGAAATACTTCCGCCCTCAGCCTCATATACTACTTTCAGCATTAATTTCAATACCCCCCTGGCTGTGCACACTGACTCAACCAATGACCTTCAGTGCCCGAACTATGTCATAGGTTTTGGGGATTATGTTGGAGGCGACGTTTGGGTGGCCTTGAGGCCAGGCGAAGCGGCCAAACATCCAGTTGCCTGGAAGCAGGTTGGCAGCCAGTGGATTCAAGGTCAGTTGATGCCCGTATATCATCAGGTGGCAAGTTTCTCCCCAAGAAGTCCGCACTTTCCAACATCCTGAGAAGGATATCGAGTCACCTTGGCAGCTTACGCTGTGGCCCGTCGTGGCTCAAAAAGTTGCAAAGCTAGCGGACGGCCCTCAGACCTCCTCTCAGGCTGACGGAGATTCTCAGAGGAGTTGCCGACCTCTTCTACGTCAGCGCGGCTCTTCGGAGACTGCGAATTTCGGTCGCTCCAATGGGATCTCCAGTTTGGGTGGTCAGGAG